CTCCACCTCCCTGGTTCAAGCAATTCCCTTACTTTAGTCTCCCGAGTAGCTGGGATTACAGGCACATGCCACCATGCCTAATTATTTTGTATTTTTAATAGAGATAGGGTCTCACCATGTTGGCCAGACTGGTCTTGAACTCCTGACCTCAGGCAATCCACCTGCCTCAGCCACCCAAAGTGCTGGGATTACAGGCATGAGCCACCATGCCCAGCCATGCTTTGTTGTAATTGCTGTTTGCATTACATTTTTCCATCCTTTTATTTTAAATCTATTTGTATCTCTAAATCTAAAGTATATCTTACAGACAGCATATAGTTGGATCATGTATTTTTATCCAATCTAACAGTATCTGCCCCTTTGATTATGTTGCTTAATCTATTTACACTTAATATTATTATTTATCTGGTTGGATTCAGGACTGCCAACTTTACCATTCTTTAGTTTGTCTCCTGTCTTTTTGTGCCTCTTTTATTGCTTTCTTTTGGGCTTAGTAAATATTTTCTAATACAGCAGTTACATTTCTTTAATGACTTTTTTCCACATGTTTTTTCCACATATGCAGTAATAAAAAGATTGGTAGTTCCTCTAGGAACTTACAATGTATTTTTTTTTTTTTAAGAGATGGGGTTTCACCATGTGGCCCAGGCTGGTCTTGAACTCCTGGGCTCAAGCAATCCACTCACTTCAGTCTCCCAAAGTGCTGGGACTACCCTTATCAAAAAAAAAAAAAAAATCTTTAAGTTCTGTTGGGCTTGAAACAATCTACATCTTAATTTATCAGAATAAGCATATGATTTATACTCAATTCCATTGAGAAATAGAAACATTGTTCATACATAGCTCTATACATCCTGCTTTTTGTGGTATTGTTATACATATTATATCTATAAATGTTAGAAGTCCAACAATATGCTGTCACAATTATTACTTTATATAATTTTATATATACCTTTAAAGAAGTTGAGAGAAGAACCAATGTATATTTACAGTTTTTGTTATATTAACCTTCTTATTTACCATTTCTGGTTTTCTTCATTTATTCTTATGAATTTGACTTACTATATGGAATTAGTTCCTAGCCCAGATCTGTACCTATTTTATCTCCTTTTTCCTATTACTGGCAAATATATTACATTTCCACATATAGGCCCAACAACATACTACATATATAGTATATAATACTGCAGTAAAATGCAGTAGGTATACTAAGGATACCTAGTATACTTAGGATACCTAGTATACTTTATGGGATACAGATTAAACAGTTCTTAGAGAAATTTATAGCTGTTAAGTGCCTATACAGATATACATGATAGACATACACAACATAAAAAAGAAGAAAAGGAGAAAATATGCATTTACAGTATCTTTTATTACTGGTGCTCTTTAATTTTTCACATGGATTAAAATCATTTAATTTGCTTTTAGCCTAAAGAACTTCCTTTAGTGTTTCTTGTAAAGTGGGTCTGCCAGCAGCAATTCTCTTGAGTTTTTACCTCAAAATACCTTTATTTCAAAGAACCTTCAGTTTTAAATAATAGCTCTGCTGGACTTAGAATCGTTGGTTAACAGTTTTTTGGTTTAAGTGCGTTGAATATGTTGTCCCATGTGAGGTTCTCTTGTAAGTGATGACTCACTTATCTCTTGCTGTTCTCAAGATATTTTCCTTGTCTTTGGTTTTTAGCATTTTTATCAAGATATGTCCCTTTGTGAATCTCTTTGCATCTATCCTACATGAAGTTCACTGAACTTCCTGGATGTATAAATTATTGTCTTTCGATAAATTTGGGACATTTTCAGGCATTATTACTTTAAATTTTTTTCTAGTAATTTCTCTTTCTCCTCTCCTTTTGATACTCCTATTACAAGCATGTTGGTACACTTAATAGTTTCCCATATTTTTCTGAGGCTGCTTTTTTCCTACATTTTTTTCTTAATGTTCTTTAATTTCTACTGATCTATTGTCAAGTTCATTAACTCTTTCTTTTGTCAGTTGAAATGTACTGCTGTGCCCCTCAAGTGAGTTTTGCATTTCAGTTACTATGATTTTCAATTCCAGAATTTCCATTTGGTTCTTTTAAAAATGATTTCTATCTCTTTACTAATATTCTGTTTCATGTGAAACTATCACCACACCTTCCTTTATTTCATTAAGCACGATTTCCTTTAGTTTGTTGAACATACTTATAATGGCTACCTTGAAAGCTCTGTTAAATCCAACCAGTCACTCTCACAGGCAATACCTATTGCTTGCTTTTTTTAACAGGATGCCTGGGTCATATTTTCTTGTTTCTCCGAATGTCTTACAATTTTCGGTTAGAAACTAGATACTTGATATAATATATTGTACCAACTCTAAGCACTGGTCTCCCCACTTCAAGATTTGTTATTGTTTATGCTTGTTTACTGGGTGACTGGCTAGTTGATTTTCGTAGATTCCATTGTCCTACCCCCAATGTTAAGCCTCCGGTGTTGGTCCTCACAGAGCTCAGACTTCAGATTGCTCACTGTCACCTTGGGATGAGAGGTGTGGGCAGGGCTCTTCCTGACTCTTGGTTTCTCTGACCACATCTAGCTTGTTAAATTCCACTAATTGCTGTCTGATTGCTGTAATGATTTCAACAATGCACTACAGTATAAACTGCTCCACAGTGTAAGTCAATCAAACTTGGGTTTCTTTGAAGTGAAAGTTCCAGAGGTTAAGGGTTAAGATTTGTTTTGACCCTTGGTGATGTCCTCCCAGCTGTGTCTTTCCCTAGTTTTCTCAGGCAAATTAGCACGTCTACAGTCAAGCCTAAATGTTCAATCTACCAGTCTTCCTCCAATTACCTTTCACCACAACCTCCACTGGTTTTTAGAGTAACCTTAGGCTTATGCTTTTCTAGGCTCTGTCGTGAATGAAGCCCATTCCTTTAAGAAGACTGCTTTATGGCCAACGTTTCCCTGCAGGTAAAATCTCTGAGACATGGCTTTGGAGCTGGAAGTTGGACGACGACACACTGGGATGTAACTGAGTGACACCCCAGGGTTAGCTATTGCGCCCAAAGTAAATTCTCTGTCCCAAGAGCAGGGGCTGGGCAGAAAAACAAAGCCCCCACCTCTTAGTCACAGTTGGCCAGAAACAGGCATGGGGAAGCAGGATGAGAAATACAGGTATCTTGCTCCTGCTCTGGAAGACAGCCCAGAATGAGAGCTGGTGGGGGACAGGGATTCTTGTCTTCTTCACTGCATCAATATGAAAAGAAGTTACCATCTCTCTCAGCTGGGATACAGTAAGGAAAGGGCAGGTCTTGTTACCAATAACAGGTTCTTGTCGTTCTGACCAAATTGTAGTAAATTTTCTTGAATAAATGTTTTTTCATTTGCTGTATTTCCTTTAAAACACTTTCAGAGATCTTAAATGTATTATTTTTATAGTTGTCACCACTTTTGCTGGAGAGTAGGACATGCTGTCATCCTACAAGTCTCTCTTAACCAGCAAGCTTTTAAAAATACAAATTAGATTATGATCCCACTCAAAACTCTCCAAAACTTCCACTCACTTTTTATTATTTTTTTTAACAAAGCCCCAAACTTCCTACTAAGCTCCACAGGGTTCTACACAATCCATCCCATGCCCATTACTGCATTTCATCCTTTACAGCTTTTTACTTTCAACCTCTGTCCTAGTGAGGGTGTTTCTCCTCGTGGTCTTTCAATTTGCTGCTCCCACTAGAAAGTTCTTTTCCCAGATTTTTCCATGGCCCTTTTCCTCATTTCATTTGGGCCTCACCTTAAATGTCATCTCAAGACCTTCTCTAAAATAGTAGTTGTCAGTCACTCTTTAACTGATTTTAAGTTTTACTGTTTTTTATTTATTACTCTATACATTTATGAGCAGGCGTAAGGATTTTTTCTCTTTTGAGACAGGATCTCACTCTGTCACCCAGGGTGTGATCATGGTTCACTGCGGCCTCTACCGCATGCCCGCAATTGATTCTTCCACTTAAGCCTCCCAAGCAGTGGGGACTAAAGGTGTGCACCACCACACCTGGCTTTTTTGTAGAAATGGGGTTTTGCCATGTTCCCCAGACTGGTCTCCAACTCCTGGGCTCAAGTGATCTGCCTGCCAAAACCTCCCAAAGTGCTGGGATTACAGGTGTGAGCCAGAGCACCTAACAAGTTTTCAAAATTTTGACAAAAATTTTTAAAGGTCAAAGAACAAGCATGTTGTTTACTCTTTAACCACATAATCCTGTTTTGTTATTCTTCACAGCACCTAAATTTACTTGATGTATTTATTTTCTTATTTGCTTAGTCTATTTCCCCCATTAGAATTAAAGCTCTAGAAGAGCAAGGAGCTTTGCCTGTGTTGTTCACCACTATATCCCCAATACTTACAACAATACTTAGCACACAGTCATTACTTAGTAAACATTTGTTGCATGAAAAGATGTAAACAGGAGTTAAAATATTTTTAAACCTACTTATATTTTAAATGACTTTAACAGATAATCTGTTTTTATTTACATCAATAACGAGTAGAATAAAAACAAAGCATTGGATAAGAAGTAACAGTGGCTGAGAAATTATAAGCAAATGGAAGTGTGAGTCGCCAGGTGTTTAAAGTTGTTTCAGTAATCCTAAAACTCATTTTTATAAATAGTACCTTTGACCTGCCAGTGCCCTTACATTATGTAAACCAGGACCAAACAAAATCAGAACTTGTAATTCAATGGAAAAGTGGAAACAATACTAAAATGATAAATGTTTATACTATAACCACTAGTTTTGACACTTAGGGGTACTGAAAATTTTAGGGAAAGCTAATCGGAATGAAAATTTTTAATCAACTACAAATGACTCACTAAGTGCAAATAAAATTCTTTAACATTAAAGAAAAAGAAGTATATTACTTCTATGTTCTCACTTTCCTCCCATACCCCTTTTCTCTTAAGAACAAGTTTTGCAATGGGCTTACAAAAGCTAAGCAAAACAAACAGGTTATGGAGTTTTACCTTGAGTCCTGTTTTCTCATCATCACTTCCATTATTTGTAGATGGTGTCTCATCTCCTTGCCTGGAAACCAATACAAAATCTTCACTATTAAGAGTAGATACTGAGTCTGAGGAGACACTGATTTTTCCAACAGAAGCCTTGTCATCCATAACTCAAGAATGAGGCTCAACACATGAATGATTAAATATTTTTTAATGCCTGAAAAACAAAACCATAAAGATACTTATATAGAACGTCTGCCAGATACTCAATTTTACTCTAATCTTACACAACATATATGGAAATTTTTGTAAATGCTTCAAAAACATTTTCCTAAGACTTTCACTACTTATACCTTACTTTTTTTTCAATTCCAGATAATAAAAAAATTTCATGCTATTCAGGGCCAAGATATTTCAGACTTCAAAACTAAATAAATAAAACATATTCCCTTCAGAATAACCCTAACTACCTACAGGGATTTCTTTGGCCTATATTGCAATTTGAGTCTTAGCCTCCAAAAATAATTAAGTACTCACCTTCTGTTTTCTATCCTCTAATTTTTAAAGTTGTAAACGAAATGGAAAGCACTTAGTTATTATAAGAGCACAATAAGGTTGTCCTAGCATTATTGATACTTAAATTTAAAATATTGCCGGGCGCGGTGGCTCAAGCCTGTAATCCCAGCACTTTGGGAGGCCGAGGCGGGTGGATCACGAGGTCAAGAGATCGAGACCATCCTGGTCAACATGGTGAAACCCCGTCTCTACTAAAAACTACAAAAAAAAAATTAGCTGGGCATGGTGGCGCGTGCCTGTAGTCCCAGCTACTCAGGAGGCTGAGGCAGGAGAATTGCCTGAACCCAGGAGGCGGAGGTTGCGGTGAGCCGAGATCGCGCCATTGCACTCCAGCCTGGGTAACAAGAGCGAAACTCCGTCTCCAAAAAAAAACAAAAACAAAAAAAAATAAAATATTAACATGGTTTTAACAGGCCAAATTTTACATTAACACCCAACATAAATCAATTCAAGGCAGTTAAATTTTAGTATAAATTCTAGAGCTGGGAAATACTTTATACAGCAAGAAATGAGAAGTTTATTAAAAACTGCATCTTCCTACATCACAGTTAGGAACTCAGCTCAATATGAACATTACCCAAATAAGAGTTTCATACCAAAAATTCCCAACAAAAAGTATAAAGATGTACCACATATTAAAATTCATTCAATTGTTTATTGACTTGTGGAATAAAACTTAAACTCACCTATCATTTTAAAACCTAGTTCTGCAAACTTTGTGACAATGTTTCATTTGGTTGTCAAAACATCAACAAAACAATATAACATTATACTCAGAGTTTTTAACTAACAAAAGTAGCTATGGCTCCATGTTCATCTAGTAACTCAAAGATGTAAGGCTCTAAAAGTCTGTTTAATTTCTCTGACTGAGAAGTCTTGATTTATGCTTTGAATTTTTAATTATTGACTACATATTTATTGAGCATACACCAGGTGTCAAACATGATTTTCTCCTAAAAAGCCCACATATAAACACCTGGCAGCAGAAATTACACAATCCCTAAGTATTATAGTTAGAAGTAAACTTAGAAGTCTAAAATCAAGTTGATGGCACAGTAAAAAGAAGGGGAAAAAAAAAAACTTACAAATCAATACTGTTAGATAAATAAATGGCAACCCCAAGAGAAGGTCATTTAACCAGTTAATGGCATGGCACAGCTAAGGCTAGAATCCTGGACTCTCTGCTGCCTTTTATTTAAGCTAATTTCTCTGCTTAACAGCTATTACACATCTCAGTAAGACCAAATCTAAATGCATAGTGTGGCATTAAAAAACACTTCAAATTGTTGAAAACTTCAAAGAAAAACGTTTTACTTAATCCATTCAATGAATACTTGAGTGATTAATGTATAAAGAACAAGCTATAGTAAACAAAAGAAAATAGATCCTTGCCCCAAAGGAGTTACAGTTTAGTAGAGAGTAGAGGCAAATTGTACCTAAAAGTACTGATTTAGGGTAAAGAAAACTATGGGAATATGTTGGGAGAGGGACTAACTTAGACTTTGCTATGGAGATACACTTTATACCTTTAGATATACACCCTCACAGGATTCTCTTCCTGAAGTGGTTTCCTCACTTCTGTACTTGATCAGCTCCAACTCATCACTCATGATGTAAAACCTTCCTCTTAGCAGTCTTCTCAGTCCACTTGTCTGTTCTCACCTCAGAATCAAATGAACTGCTTCCCTTATATCTGTTCCTACAGCATTTTACATTTGATTTTTCTACAGTATCTATTATGTTGTGTTATAATTTAATGGTGAGTGCCTCTTAATTGTCACATCTCTATTTCACAAATGAGGAAATTAATACTTAGAGAGATGGTGTAACTTGTTCAATGTAATGTGGTTAGAGTCAAAGCCAAAAGTTAAACCCAGTTACCTAACTCCAAAGACACTACTCTTTCCATTAGATTGTGAAGGTTTTTCAATGCCACAAATTTGGGCCTTGTCCCAAAACACTCAGTATTGCGTAAAGGAGTCTTTTTTTTTTAGAGTTTGTACTTTAAGAGAGGTTTCATGCTCAATTAATTAAGTCTTTTATCCACCTTTTATAATGTGATTAACAGTTGGATGGCAGAGGGCCTGGGAAAAGTAGTCTAAAGCTCTGGTCTCAGAGACACTAACAACTTTGTATAATCCTACTCTGGACTCAAAAACAATATACTTTGGTAATTACACTAAGGAACTGAGAATATTTGGCAAGCTCAAAGTTCCACCTACTTTCTTTGAGAAGGTGATAGGAGAATACGCTTTATAAAATACTTCATTATTTGTTTTGGCAACCGAAAGTAACTGAATCACTCAGCAGGAATGAGGTTTATCAAAACACTAAGTAGTACGGGAAAAATTATACAATAAGATTCCTTTTCTCTGGCCTCCATGGACAGAAGTGAAGAGGGAATAGTCCATCAGCTCCACAAACATAGATAAAACCACCCATTCCCTGGCCTCCATAATGAAGAGGTACCCCAGAATTTGCTGTACTTCTGGCAAATTCTAGACATTCACAACCTCTGTCTCAAGACCATAGGGATTTGTTTTTAATCCCTACTTATATCAGTTATCATAAGACATCCCCTACTCTGATTCTTCATCCTTCAGATTTTAATTCTAATTCCCATTGACAACAAAGTACCAAAATTCCTCCCCCAAACACCCTGCAGTCACCCAGCTTCTACATAGCACCTATAGCTTGACATTCATTTTAGTAATCCATTTTTAAATATAATGTAAACTAGAACCTAAGGTTCACAAGGGCAGGGGTTTTTGCATTTGACTAAGTGTTGGATCCCTAGCACCTGAAATAATGCCTGGCACATAGCAGGTGCTCAACTATTTGTTAAAGAGGCAGGATAAACAGCAAATAAAAATGGAAAAGAGCAAAAGCCACCCAAGGAAAATGTAAGGCCACCTTTTATATACAGAGGTCATATTCGTGATGCTGAAGCACACCATTAGGAGTTAAGGAAAACCTAAGTTAAAATACCAGTTCTACTACTAATAGTATGAGCTTGTCATGCTGAGCCTCAGCTTCCATAGATACATAGCTCAATCTCATAGAGCTACTGTAAAAATTACTACGGACTATACATAAAACATTTAACAATATACAAAGAACATTATAAGCACCCAATAGTTACAGCTTTTCAAAAACTAACTTTAAATTCAAAAAAATTTAACAGATACTAACTGATTTAAGTAATCCAAATTAAATACTTCATACTACCTCTACGTCTTGGCCTATGTCTACAGCACCTGTATGAGTTAATTTGGTTGTTAGGAAACATATCACTGAGGAAAAAAAACACATTTCCTAATTTCACATTCTAAGCTGTTAATATCTAAATAAAAGCAAAATAATACTTCGAATAAAAATGCTTTATGTATCACAAAAAGTAATAAAATGTACACTTTTTTTTTTGAGATGGAGCTTCACCCTGTCGCCCAGTCTGGAGTACAATGGTACAATCGCAGCTCACTGCAACCTCCACCTCCCAGGTTCCAGTGATTCTCCTGCCTCAGCTTTCCGAGTACTGGGATTACAGGCATGCGCTACCATGGCTGGCTAATTTTTTGTATCATTAGTAGAGATGGGGTTTCACCATGTTGGCTAAGCTAGTCTCGAACTCCTGACTTCATGATCCCCCTGCTTTGGCCTCCCAAAGTGCTGGGATTACAGGCATGAGCTACCTCGCCTGGCCAAATATACACATTTTTATCTCATTTTGTCATCCTAATCATTCAGTAAGATAGCCCATTTAAAATAAGATAACATACATATGAATGGCCTGGTACTTGGTAGGCAGGCACTCACAGTTTGTCGCCTTTTATAGAAATGATGAGCCTAGACCCTTGTAACAAGTTCAATTGCCAACAGAGCAGGTTGGTGGACACAAGTTCAAGGATGCTTCCTTCTCTACTTCTGAGACAGGGTCTTGCTGTGTTGCCCAGGCTGGAGTGCAGTAGTATGATCCTAGCTCACTGCAGCCTTGATCTCCCAGCTCAGATGATCCTCCTACCTTTACCTCCTGAGTAGCTGGGACCAGATGTATGTGCAACCATGCCCAGCTAATTAAAAAAAAAAAAAAAATTCTCAGCTATCCAAAGAGTGCTGGGATTACAGGCATAAGCCACCATATCTGGCTTTACCTCTCTTTTAAAAAAGTCAAGTCACTTGAGGTGACAGACAATTTTGTTCACTTATACAGCCTCCTGCATCACACCCAAAAGTTCAATTATGCTTTATTTTCATTACTTTTATTCTTACAGAGACATTAAAGATCACTAGAGATTTTTATTGAAAATTAGTCCCATATGCCAAAACTCTATGAACTTTTTGCCTAAAGTCACTGTTCTGTGACATAAGTGCCAATTTTATGCTCAATTATGTACCACAGCATAAAATGCATCTCAATATTGCTGAATAAACATTCACATTTAGCCAGCAGCAGTGGCTCGTGCCTGCTATCCCTACAACTTGTGAGGCTGAGGTGGGAGGATTGCCTGAGGCCAGGATTTCAAGACCAGCTTGGGCAATATGGTTAGATCCCATCTCTAAAATAAGATATTTAAAAATTAGCCAAATGTGGTGGTGTGTGCCTGTAGAACCATCTACCTGGGAGGCTGAGACAGGGACCTG